TCTTGAGAGTCCCTTGGACTGCAAGGAGATCAAACCAGTCAATCACAAAGGGACTCAATCCTGAATATTCACTGGAAGGACTGATGCCAAAGCTGAAGCTCCAATACTTTGACCACCTGATGCGAAGAGTCGACTTGTTGGAAAAGACGCTGATGCTGGGAAATATTGAAGGCAGGAGGAGAAGGGGGAGACAGAGTGTGAGATGGTTGGACTATTCAATGGACATGAGTTTGAGCAACTCCAGGAGATAGTGAAGGATAGGGAAGCCTGGCATGCTGAAGTCCACGGCTGGGGCGGGGTGGGGGTGGGGTATCACAAAGAGTTGGACATAACTGAGCGACTGAATAAGTTAGAAAGGAAAACCGAGAATCATCTGTGTTCATTTGGTGACAGAGTGGAAACTTTTCATTACCACAGGGCTCCTTTTAAGTATTCACCCAGTTTAGCAACTTCAAGAAAGTTTAGTAGTTCTTTCAAATTTTTAAAAAAGGTGACTGGCCTAGAGATGAATTTTCCTTCTTTTCAGATTATTTACATCTTTGTTTTCTACTAAGCTCTCAGCTCTTTTTAAATCTTGCTTTTGCTAAATGAAAGTGCCGTTTAAGTCATGTTATGGAAAGTTAATTTTTTTTTTTTAAAGTCAAACAATATGAAACCAGGCAATAAAATTCAGGAAAGGGGCCTGTTTAAAACTCCTGGCCTCGTCTAAACCTCTGAGTGTCCATAAACAGCTTCCGAAGCAGGTGGGACACTGTCTGCCTGGCTGTGGTCGGAGGGCCTGGTGTCCAGGGGCCGTGGATCCCTGGGCTCTGCACTCACATTCTATTAATGCCTCATTAGACCAGCTATTCAAGCCCTTGTCTTTACATGTTATGTGTTTGGTGAAGGGAGAGACAGATGCCAGTTTCCCAAGAGGGGGGAAAAAAAAGCAACTGGAAAAAAGGAAATGGCAGATCGTCAATGAGATAGCTTTTGTTTCAATTTTCCCTCCTTTGTTTTCTTTCGCAGCCCTCTGTGAATTACCGTACTTTCCCTTTTGGTATTTTGGGCCATAGATCTCCGCATGAACCTGAATTTCACTTTTTTTTCCCCTTTTCCTTAATATTCATCTGGAAAATACCCGCACACCTCACTGCCTCATTCTAGCGAGACCCACTGGCCACTTCCAGATTGATTTACCGAGGGTGAGTGGCGTGGTCCCGTGGCTGGAAGCCCAGACTGGAAGCCAGGAAATTTGGGCCGCTTTCCCAGCCCGATCACCACGCCTCTGCAGTGCCCACAGGTCCCCGCTAACCTGCACTGCGCCTGCGCGTGCGAGGATGCTACCCGCAGATAAGCCAAGGGCAGGCTTTGTCTGGCCGTGGTTCCCAGCTCCGCCATGAACTGGCCGCGTGACCGTGGGCCCAACCAGAGTTCCTATCTCCGAGCCTCAGTTTGCTCTTTTGTATATGGGGAATGAGAAGCCAGTAGGTGATTACATGGAGTTGGGCATTTCAGCCTCGGTGGGCCTCACGGGGCAGACAGGATACAGGACGTGACTCTTTAGGACTAGGCAGGGCTGGGTGGGAAAGGATCAAGGGAGCAGGAAGTGATCAAGCTGTGATATCAAGGACAAGTTGTTCTGCTCTTCGGCTTTCTTACTGTTTGGGGTAATGTGAGGACCCTGGCAGCAGCCTGAGGTGGGTCCTGACGCCAGCGAGCCTGTGGAGGAGAGTGGCTGTCAAGAGCAGAGAAGAGTAAAGCCCTGGCAGCAAGTGGGACCAGGCTCAGGGACGCAGGTGGCAACATCCACTTACAGGGCTGTGACCGGGGGTCTTTGTAGGGGACAGTGTCTCCCTCTGGATAGTCCTGGTAGTGCTAGTGAAAGTCACTCAGTCATATCTGACTCTTTGCGACCCCATGAACTAGCCTGCCAGGCTCCTCTGTCCGTGGAATTCTCCAGGCCAGAATACTGGAGTGGGTAGCAGTTCCCTTCTCCAGGGGGTCTTCCCAACCCAGGGATCAAACCCAGGTCTCCTGCATTGCAGCTGGATTCTTTACATCTGAGCTCCAGGGGCTGGGTGGTGGTTCTGGTGGTGGTAGTTTAGTCACTCAGTTGTGTCCCACTCTTGCGACCCCATGGATTATAACCCGCCAGGCTCCTTTGTCCTGGTACTTTCCCAAACTTTAATTCTGGCACCAATGGCTATGATTTTTAACAAATGTAAGGAGAGAGAAAAGAGCACTGGACTTGGATTCAGACTAAGGGGACCTCAGATTTGAGTTTTGCTTTTGCCAGTTCTGTGACCTTGGCTAATTGCCTTAATTTCTGAGCCTCAGTTTCCCCATCTGTAAGTTTTACAGCCTTGCTGATTTTTCTGGTTTGTGATACCAGCCCTGCTGATTTTTCTGGTTTGGTGTGAGGAGCACATAAATCACAGTACACGGGTGCATTGTGTAGGCTTTATAGTATTGATATGTGCTGTCATAATTCGGCTTTTGTTTTCTCATAGGACATTTTTAAAAAAAATTATTTTTGGCTGTGCTGGGTCTTCATTGCTTTGCACGGGCTTTCTCTAGTTGTGGCAAGTGGGGGCTTCTCTCCAGTTATGTTGCTCAGGCTTTTCACTGTGGCGGCCTCTCTTGTTGGGGAGCGTGGGCTCTATGGCACTCAGGCCTTGGTATTTGCAGCACGTCAGCTCAGTAGTTGTGGTATACGGGCTTAGTTGCCCCAAGGCATATGGAATCTTCCCAGACAAGGGATTGAGCCCATTTCCCCTGCCCTGCCAGGCAGATTCTTAACCACTGAACCACTAAGGAAGTCCTCTCGTAGGACATTTTAAGGGCAAGCTAAATGAAACTGGCAGTCGGGTATGGACCTTGGAAGACCTTGGCATGTTCACTGTGCTATGAGGGAACAAGGTCAAATGAACAAGTAGCTGAGAATGAAGAGGGTGTTCAGAGGGGCCCACCTCCCCCTCCTTGATTTCTCCTACTAATGGACATCTATGTTTCCACTCAAAATTCCCATTCATTTGTCAGGTACAAGGCCAGATACCAAAATAGCACTTGTGTAGGGCTGGAAGTATTAGGGCTCAATTGTTTCTGGGCTCTGCTTCTTTCTCTCAACCCCACCTCTCTCAGAGTGTCTGCAGAAGTGTCAAGGATGTACTACAGGCCGGGTGATGGGGCTCAGACACGGTCCAAACATTACATATGAAGACAAGAATTTCAGAGATGTTCTAGGGCATGGGTGCAAGCCTTACTCGTGCAAGCTGATTGTCCAGTGCCAACATGTGCTGAGAGAGACCAGCTTATGCAGGAAAAGAGGCCGGTTCGACAGATGTGCAACTTTAAGTGAAGAATTTCGGATACATTTCTGTACATGCTATGGATGTCATGGGTCAGCAGTTTGAAATTCATCACTCATGCTAACCAGCATATTCTTTTTCGGAAACACACCAGGGGGTTTCAAACAGACAGAACCAATGAGTCTCATGTGTTTTGGTCAACAGCTGCACCTAAATAATGTCGGGAACACTGAAAATGTCACTTTGAGAAGGCACGGAAGCCTGGACAGGCACAGGCTTTAGGCCCCCTCTTATTTTCTGTCTTTTCCAGTCTTGTGGGCTCAGTAAGCCAGCAACCTTCTCAGTTTCTGTTTCCTCATCCTCAAAGTGGGGGACATTATATACTGAATTTAGGGGTCATTGTGATGGGTTAAGATAAGAGCTGAACCTGGGTCCATTGGTGGTAGAAATTTGAAATGTGGAATCTTTTGTGGAGTTTGTGATTGAGCATTGTTAAGCTCCTATCAGAGTTTTTTCCCCCTTCTTGGTACTTTCCTGGTGGTCCAGTGGTTAAGAATCCACCTTCCAGTGTGGGTTTGATCCCTGGCCAGGGAACTAAGATCCCACATGCCATGGAGCAACCTAGCCCATGCACCCCAACTACTGAGCTCATGTCCCCTGGGGCCTGTGGGCCACAGCTAGAGAGGCCTGCCTGCTGCAATGCAGAACCCATGTGCCACAGTGAAGACCTAATACAGCCAAAACAAACAAACAAAAAAGAACTGATTTTCTTATATGGACTATGATGGACAGATTTAGTAGAACTTCCATGATTTTGTTTACTTAGCATCTTAGCTGATTTCCCTATGGTGGTTTACCTTAGAAATTACCCATAAAATAAAAGGAATAAAATAAACCAGTAAAATTTGTATTATGTGCCAGGTAGACTGCATATTCTATGTGTAGAAACAATTAATACTCAACAGACCGCAGGCAGTAGGTGTCATGTCCCCCGACCCCTGCCCCTCACTTTTCAGGCAAGAGGACTAAGTTTGGGTCATTTGATCAGGGCCACATGGTGAGTGAGTGGCGGAGCTGGGACTCAGAGGGGGGTTTTATGACACCAGAGACCACATTCACAGGCACTAAACTTTACTGACTCTACTCTAAAGCTGCCTGTTATTGGAACCTCTTGCTTCAGAGTGGTTGTTAAGCTTGTCACGGCTACACAGTGACTAGGTGGAAGTTTTGGGGAGATGAAAAAGTGCAGTGAGAGCTGTCGGTTTTGTGGGATCCACTTCTGGGCATTTTCCTTTGTATGTTTCACAGCTCAAGGGCCACCAGACCCCACTCCTCCTCACATCCCCCATCCTCCCCACCGCAAGCAGATGCCCTGTCCATAGCATCCCTCTTCTTCCATTTATTCTACATGTATCTCCAAATGCACCTTCTCTTGGTCACTTTTGGTAGCACCATCCTGCTCTTTGAAGCCTTGTTGATTTCCAGTTATCTCAGAGTCAATTCAAGCCCAAGGATCTCGCGAGGCTGCCTCCAATGACCTCTCAGCTCACCTTCTCATGTTCCACCTTCCCTTGGTCCCTGGAAGCACGCCATTTGAGGTGCCCTCCATGGACTCAGCACCTGCCCCCTGACCTTTGTGCCTTCTCCAGGCAGTGCTGCCAGCCACGTGGGAGGGCAACTCAGCAGCCTTGCAGGCAAGACTCGGGCCAGAAGTGGCCCTGCTGATGGACAATACAGCAGTTTTTTATTCACTCATGCATTCATTCCTCCATTCAACATTTTTTTAAAATTGAATACCAATGCTGGAACCAAAACAAATAATGAGACACAAGTCTGCCCTCACAGTGTGGTGGAGGGGACAGACTCAGAAACAAAAACAGTAGGTTGGCGGGATCAGTCTGCGTGGTCCCATCACAGCATCACCTGGAGCGTGTAGAAGGGAATGCAGGAGGGGGAGCTGAAGGACAGGGCAGTTCAGGTGGAGGGAATAGAGTGTTCAGAGACTGAGAGGTGAGATAGAGCTGTTGTTTTCACAGAAATAAAACACTGCGACCGAAACAGCCTGTGTGTGTGTAGAAATGGTAAAAACCTGACTCGTTCACCGACCACCATCTCAGCTCACACACAAGTGGAGTAATTGAGATGTCACAGCCAATGCTTGCAGAGGTGTGGCCATGGCTGAAAGGAGCCAGTCAGGGTTGGGGACACACCCTGGGGCCAGCTTTCATAGAAAGGAAGAGATGTTCCCACTTCTACCTGAAGGGGCAAGAGGAGGAAAGAGTTATTAAAACCCCAAGAATTCTGGGAGACTTGCCTGGGGGTCCTTTAGACTCCGCACTTCCACTGCAGGGGACTGAGTTCGATCCCTGGTTGGGGAACTAAGATCCCATATGCTGTGTGACATGGCCAAAAAAAAAAAAAAAAACCAAAACAAAACAAAAAACCCCAAGAAAGCTATAGCTGTAAGCCTAGGAGAAGGCTCCCAGATAAGAGCCAGGGACTTGGTAAAAGAACACAACCACTTCCAGTCCACAGCCTGGCAGGGAGATGCAGATCAGTTGGAGGAGAATGGAACATTTTCTGGAGGGTAGCAGAGAACACCCCACACAGCCGCCATCAATGCCGTTGTCTCCCATTTCCACCCCAACTCCCACCCGTAATCTGTATCACAGACAACACACCTCGTTCTGCAAATGATTGGGCCAGTGTGCAGCAAAAATGCACAAAGAAATAAATATGGATTCAAAAATAGAATCCAGACCACAGGAGACAAAGAGGTCAAGTATGAGGAACAGGAGAAGGCTGGATAATAAAACAAATCTGTGGAGATCATTTGGACGTACATAGTACTGCAGTTGAGCCAGACACACGAGTCTGAGCTTCTTGGTGGCCAAAGTTTGGAGGAATATGAGGTCAGTTATATAGCTGTCCTCCTCCAAGAGGTGAAAGCTGACCAGTTTGTATCAGAAGTTGCATTTTTCCTAGACCTTAGCATGAATAGGCATTTTCTCTGTGGGGGCAGCATGATTTAAGCAGACTGTGACCCCAAGAAAATGACTCCAGCAAATTCTGGTTGATGCCCCACATCTTTGTTGTCTGCTGGCCATGTTCAGCTCACTCCTAGTGCCCACTGATGGCATCCAAGCCCCATCTCTTAGCGAATTTCATGTTCCTCACGATCAGGGATCATGCTTGGGATGTCTTTGCTACCTCCCATTCCCAAACTATTTTGAAATTGAACCCAGTGAAAATATTTTGAGTATTAGCTTTTCTTCTGTCACTGCAGAAATAGTCTTATTACATTGTTGAGAATAATTAGACCGAGAACAGCCAACTCCCTAATCCTCTGAATGTGCTCCTAGAGCAGGTGCTCTGGGGTTCAAGGTACAGTGGAGAGTGATGTAGACATCCTTGTGGAGCTCAGATGGAAAGAGCAACAGCAATTCATCCAGTTCTCAATTCAGCCTGAGTGATGTGTAGTTGAGACCTGTGATGCTTAGCACGTGGGAATCAAAGGCCCCTTGAAAAGACAATAAAGACTAAAGGTTCTCTCCCCAGAAAAAGACAAAAGTTCACAACTTTGATTTCCATTTCAGGGAATTTGCACAGTTCTTGGAGCTCAGCTGTGGACTCCAGCTTAGAATCTCTGATCTAGACTATGGGCCTCATATTTTGCAGAAGGGGTTTTCTTCTGGAAACTCTGTGGCCCTGTTAGTAATGGGGACAAAGGATATCCAGGTATCAAGTTCATCCCATAGAGGGTGAGAGGAGTGGGCTGATTGCACAATCAGCCTCTTACTCTCCTCACCACACACAAATATTCTATACGTAGGACAAGATATATATGACATGTGAAATATTATTCAGCCATAACTTGGATGGCAATTCTGATACACATTACAGCATGAAGAACATTGAGGATGTGATGCTAAGTGAAACAAGCTGGTCATGGAAGGACAAATGCTATATGATTCTACTTACGATTTTCTAGGTAGAGGAGTCAAATTCAGAAGGACAGAAAGTGTATGGTGGTTGCCAAGGGTGGCAGGGAGGGACTGGGGAGTTAATATTTCATAGGGACAGAATTTCAGTTTTGCAAAATGAATAAAGTTCTAGGGAAGAATGGTGTGATGACTGTACAACAGTGGAAATGTACTTAATGCCACTGAATTGTACACTTAAAAATGGTTAAGGGATTTCTCTGGCAGTCCAGCAGTTAAGACTTCACCTTCCAACATAGAAGGTGTAGGTTTGAACCTGGTGACTCAGACAGTAAAGAATCCACCTGCAATGCAGGAGACCTGGGTTTGATCCTGGGGTCAGGAAGATCCCCTGGAGAAGTACATGTCAACCCACTTCAGTATTCCTGCCTGGAGAATTCCATGAACAGAGGAGCCTGGTGGGCTACAATCTCTGGGGTCACAAGAGTTGGACACAACTGAGTGACTAAGACTTTAAAACACTGTCCATGTAAACATTTTTTTTCTAAAAAATGGTTAGGGTGGTAAATTTTATATTCTGTATATTTTACCAAAATTAAAAAAAATTAGACAAGAGCTTAAAACACAAGAGCCTGAAGATGGAGTGTGCAGGCCTAGGTTAGTGGGGAGCCAGGTGGACCTAATCTCAGCTGCTAGCTTTGGTGGACTGTGGATCCTCCCCCACCTCCCTGCAAAAACACGGAGTTCCTGGGATCTCTGCTGCCTGGTGGGCTCCCAGCTGTGGAGAGCGGTCGAGGCGCTGAGCGCCATCACCAGGAGCACCTTGACTTGCAGAGGGTAGTGGCGGGGGGCGGGGCGGGGGGCGCTTCCCTTGTGGCTCAGGCAGTTAAGAATCCACCTGCAATACAGGAGACCTGGGTTTGATCCTTGGGTTGGGAAGATGCCCTGGAGAAGGGAATGGCAGCCCACTCCAGTATTCTTGCCTGGAGAATCCCATGGACAGGGGAGCCTGGTGGGCTAGAGTCCATGGGGTTGCAAAGAGTTGGACATGACTGAGTGACTTGTTGTTGCAGAGGTATATTTCAGCCCTCCACCTTGTTACTGACATAGATTTTTCCTATACGAGGATGGCTAATAATGGCTCTCCATGTAATTTCTAAAGGAAAACTGTGGCTGCATAAATGATTCACCATTCAGGAACTCTTCAATTTATAGGACCCATCTTTTTTATAACAGGAAGTAAATATGCGTTGCTAAGCTACTATGTCCACAAAAAAAAAAATCATATAGCAGATTCCGTTGTGTTCTTTGTGGTCTGTGAGAGCTGATGATTCCTCTATGTTAAGTTGGTCCTTTTGTTCTTGACCGCCTTTGCCTAAAGTTAATTAGAGTTTGGCCCGAGTGTACTTGGGGTAAACAGAAAAAAAAAAGGCATAAATCATAATTTCCCATGAGAAAACAGTAGGTTTCTTTAAATTTTCTCAAAGGAATTTGAAAAGCATTTATTGGCCTTTATTTTCAGTTCGGCACCTAATTATCTGTCTATCTATCTATCATCTCATCTATCTCAGAATCTATGGTTCTAAGATTGTACACATTAGACTTAATCGTATTATTGCAAAGGAAAGAATATGACTGTATAGGTAAGTTTTAGGAGTTACAGGTAACTCTTTAGACTCCCTGAGGATGCAGCATCAATGCTCCACCTCTGAGAAGTATACAGCAAGTAGAGATCATTTCAAGATGCAGCTTAAGGGATTTTGATCAAAGGAAGGAAAAGCACTACATGTGAGTCATCCATTTCCCCATGATGGAGATCTCAAAATAAAAAGGATATCATTGCCCATATCGGATGCCCTGACCGTCAAGGTCACAGGAGGGTCCTGAGGTAGTAGAATTATGCCTTTTATGTGTTTAATTTACTTGAGCTCAAATATGCATACATTAAAATTTTTTTTTTTTCTTTTTTGGTTGCACTTTGTGACAAGTGGGATCTTAGTTCCCCGACCAGGGATCAAACCAGTGTCCGCTGCATTGGAAGTGCTGAGTGTTAACCATTGGACTGCCAAGGAGGTCCAGGAAGGAGCCATTTAAATAGAGCTGGCAAGTAGGCCTTCCATTTCACCCAAGGTCGCACCTGAAGACAGGAGGGGAGCACAGGAATTTGCTAATTTGCAACTGGAATTTCTCATGTGCTCTCTGTATAGACATCTCCTCCTGCTGAGTGTGATTCCAGGAGCTCTTCTTCCCAGACAGCATGGCTCCCACACATGAGCCTTCGCCTTCATCTGATGCCACTGGTCCGTTTCGACACTAGTGTAAGAGCTGGCTGTGTTGAGGTTCCCAGTAGCGAGGATGGCTGCATCCAGCACGATTCAGTCTAGCAGGGATCATAAAAATTTGAGAGAAAAGTCATCCTGCTGTGGCATCAAGGACTAAAATGTTTGTTAAAGAGACAAGTTAAATATGTAGAAGACTTTTATGAAGACTGAAATAGCATCTGATTTGTGCCTGGAGGGCTTGGACCGTGAGTTGTGCCTCTGAATTTCAGCACATGTTCTAACTTCCTGCCCAAGAGGTATTGACGAAAAGGAATTTCCAAGAGTAATTTCAACTCTACATGCTTTTCACTCCCTTCTGACCCTAAATCTCATGGAAATTATAATGGTCAAGAACCTGAATTTTGGGGTCAGACGTCAGATTTCCAGTTCTAGCTCCACCAACAACTAACATTAATTTGACTAAGCCTCAGTTTCCTCAAATGTAATGCAAGTTCTTACCTAATAGGATAGTTCTGTGGATTAAGTAGGACAATCCATGTGAAGCACCCAGCACCTGCATTTAATAAGTAATGCAATCA